TTTAAATTATAAACGAATTGTAGATAACTTGTTGGTTTCAACGAATAAATCAAGAGAGGGATATATTTTGGAAAAAACTGAATCTAATGAAAATCCTTGTCCCAAAAGCACATAACGTGTCTGAACAGTTTGACACAAACTTGATATTTCACTAACACAGCGTACTAAGATCGCCTGTTCCATTTGTTTCAACATTAAATTAAATAAACATCTGCAAAGGGGTCAGGTGCGCAACGTTATGACGAGGCATCTTAACTAAAATAATTCGGTTTTCTATGGCAAGGAGAATGAGTTGAACGTCGCTAAATCATCTTTTTAAAAATGGTGAGCCTGTATATTTGACACAAAACGTGTCTTTGAAAATCACTAAACCAACTAAAAATATAACGCCTATGAAATTATTTATTGAGCTTTTGCCTCTCTAACAATCTCCAAACGTTTCCTCAATAGCGAGGGTAAAACGAGCTCTACGTAGAGACCTACGAATATGGTTGAGCACTCATGTATCAAGCGTCCCCAATTATAGTTGACGGTAAGCTAAAAAATTGGTCTAAAAATGAGGAATGCTGGTGGTTGAAATGCTTATTTCCGCCCACAGGATTGATAATAGCTACCGGCATTTGGAGTATACACATTATATCGTTTGACTGAAGGGTCGTATCGTGGGAAAAAACCAATTTAAATTTATCCTATTGACCCTACCCGAGGAGGATGAATGCTGTATTTTGGCTGTTAAATTGCGAACCTCTTGTTCATGGTTTATAGGTCGAAGCAATATAGTAAAATTGACCAGTTCATGAAATATATCATTATCCATTGGCCAGAGTGATGTGCGTTGACCAGATCAGTGATGACAAGTTGCTTACCGATATGATCTACTAACTTCATGAAATGACCCAGAATGCTTGACCAAATCACAAGTTATTAGGGACGGGAGGACTGATAAAATTTGCAATTTGAGTTTTCGAGAAATTAAAGACTTTTGAAGAGATAAGAATAAGAAAAAAAATAATCAGCCTCCCAATTCTTCCATAACAGTGGAATATTCACATACAATTTCACAGCTGCACTATGATTTGTAAACCAAAATGCAACTTTTGACAAAGAAGAGACTGGTAGCATCATCTCTATTCACACCATGAAACCATCTGCCACTACTCGTAATACTCTTCCAGACAGGCTGTTTGAAAAAAGGTATATACATGCGTCCGTAACCACTTCTCACATAAGCGAATACATGCTTTTGAAATAAGAATGTCTTGCTGACTCATCCCCATCTTATTAATTTACTAACGCTAAGGTCACTTTGAATTTTATTTTACATCATTCACATTGTACTTTGAAAGGAGCTCAGAGTTGACGGAAACGTATATTTTCAATCTACATACTTATGTGGCTTTATTCGGACACTTCACTCCTCTTGATTGTTTTTTGGGAGCTTAGATAGAAAATGTTTTTGAAGAACCTAAAACTACCTCAGAGGGCAGGAGAAAGAGGTGGCGTACTATTTTTATTTGAAAAAACAATGCCACTAATCCCCTATATTTACGCCTCTGGTGCACGTTGATTTTAAGTAAAGACTTTCGAATGTGGACATTACTTAGGTAAATACATGTACCAAATTCTAGTTCATTCCAGCAGACGGTTTGGAAGATATTAAAAAAATATTTTTTTTTTTTTAAACTTTTTTCCCTTGAGGAAAAAGGTGTTACATAGAAGACCCCCCTGAATGCGGTCCTGTGTCTGATGATTTATTTTTAGTCACGACTTGTGAATCACCCTATATAAAACATCTGGGCGTATTCATTAATAGCCGGCTTTGTTGATATTCTTGGTGTATAAATTCCACACGCATTTTCTTACAAAAAAAAACAGATAATATTATATTGCGCACTAGAAGAATGTCACCTAACTTGCGGAATAACAGTTTGGGGCTTTGCAAATAAGACGCTAATAGAATTGGTTTAACAAACACAAAAATCTATTATATACCTATTTGAACTTGTATACGTTAAAACAGAGATTCTTAACAAGCAAAAATTATATATTATCATAGATCAACATAAATATAAAGAAGATATCTTAAATTACTTTACTTACCCCAAAGGATGACATCTTGCTAAAATCATTTATGTCAGGCTCCACTGACATATAATAACATACCAGCAAAAATAAAAAAATATAATAACATTAAATTCAAAAAAGAACTGAAAGTTTGGTCAAGGAAAATTCCAAATTACAGCACATCAACATACAACACACACTTTGAATAAAAAAATCTTTAATTCCAATAATAGAATTGAAATTTATAATACAGTGTCGCATAATATGCTGAATAATGGTTGTTTATTTCGGTAACCGGCATTTATTTTTGTTTAGTGCATTTATATATTTATTTTTTTCCACACACGAGGATCTCCTGTGGATTGAAATTTATTCACCATGTTATATATTAATCTGAATAAATTATTATTATTCATCAGAAGCTAATTACAGGAAGGCTTTGTTAGTCTCGTGCACGGATTATTTCTGGAATTTCAAACCTAGAGGGATTTCGAAGCGAAATCGTACTCACACAACTTAAGTGTATTTTAATGACCACTCGCTTTTCATGCTAGGAGTGATTACAGTAGATGGGAATATAAAGGAAACTAATTCACAAAAGGCTAGATGAATGCTTATTTACACAATAAAGGGGAAAAATAATACACTCATCATTCTGGACAGAAAAGGTCGCCACTCTAAAAAAAAAAAATCAGTATAAGGTTGAAAGCGGAATCGGTTACAAAGGTTATTTTGCCGGAGAATAGTGCTTGTCTAAACCTGCAAACTAGTTCGCATATTTTTACTGGTAATTGGATTAGGGAGTTTTCTTTCTGTATACACTGCCGTTAAATTGCCAACGCGTTTAGCATTACACTGATGTTTTCTGCTTTACTAGTGAGGTTGTTATTGCGAGATTCAGAATATATACATTCAAGCCATAAAAGAAAAACGTTTAAGATGTCTACGCTATATAATGGGGAGGCAATTGCATACATAGAGATTGAGTCCACTGAATTGTTTTTTCTTGAAGACAGAATAGTGTTTCTGGGCATGTATACGTATTTCCATTTTCAACTCATTAAGTAATTTAATTGACTCTCATGACCCTCCTATTGGAAAGAATAATTTTTCAGTTAATACCAGAAGTTTGCGGCATGAGGTATGTTTCACTGTAATAGATTTATTTAGCTCAAGATATGCCCAAACTCTCACTCTAAATTTGCTCATCTCCTATGTAGACGATAGTGCTTACCTGGACTTTCCAAATTTCCTATGATGTTTTTAGAACCAGGCTGGATAGGTATATTTTTGGTTTGTGAGATTTGGATGCATGTTCCTTGTTTGAACAATTAGGTCTGGTATATATTCCAATTTTTAAATTTATTATTGTAAAATGGTCCACCGTCGAAATTAATAAATATTTCATTCGTGAACACCCTGGGAAAAATTGCTAAATAGCTCATCATCTGAATCTTATACTATGACATATAAACCTTCTTCTTCTTCTGGAGGGTGCAACCCAAACATCACAAAAGATGAGAGAAGCTCTCTAAATTTGAAGTGTAGGATATTCATTTTATGGGTACCCCTTGAGGCCGTGGCTACCCCTGAGTTCTCTGCTAATTGGCGCTCGGGTGTTGTCGTTATTGAAATTGCATTTTTCTTGTATTAGGCAAGTTTTGGTTTTGTGTATTTGAATCGCTTCGTCTGATTTGTTGAAATTGTCCGGATTTTTTTGGATTTCAGTGGCCTCTCTGAACAGCCTGGCACTAAAAGAAGTAGTAGCTAAGGCCTGTGTTTTCTCGAATTTACTTGGGTGATTTGTTTTTGTTACGTTTATCAGGATGTCCCAGGCGGCAGATGGCTTTATGTTCCCCGATTCTAGTATTTATCGATCATTCCTATGTATCCTCAGGAATTTACCGTATACCGTGCACATGTGGAGGTATATACAATATAAAGGAGCAACTAAAGATCAATAAATACCAGAATCAGGGAACTGCCGCCTGAGAAATACTGATGAATCTGCCATGGCAGGGCCCATTTTAACGAATTATACCACTTATCTCTATTAAATCATATAGTTGTTACAAGTAACACGGTTCTTTGTAGTAACAACTCCTCCAACTCGGTACAAGTATTCATTCATTACGCAAATAAATATTTCGCAAAAAGTGAACTCTTATACTGAAAATTGACACCTTCTACCCACTTCCAAAACATACAAATAGAAAGAAAGAAATTAGAAAATCAAATCCTTAGGTGTGACAAGGTATGCTTCAACTGTTTCTTAATTTTGTTCCAGTAGGAAATATTTTGAAGCTTGTTCTAACCTGTTCCTCCTCCCATTCTACTAGATACGTTAGTAATGAGGCATACCTGATTATGTCAAAGGATGTTGGTAACAATTGCTTATTCAAAATATTTTACTGGAGAATCCTACGCCAGTCTCGTGGCAGGACAGCTTTTTTAACCCCAAACTCTCATGTACCGACTCTCATCTAACCTCTTCAAGAAAAACCGACCAAGAATTTTGTTCTGTAAGTTGCTAAGTCCGAGAGGCTAATATTTTTGAATAATTCAATCTAGATACATTTAGCGCTGATTATACTAGCGCTGATTATTACTTGTTGAAGAGAACAAAATGGCGCTCGAATAGAACACCACTTGCATGCGCGCCGTATCGGCTACCGACTGTACCCGAAAATGACCTAAAGATGTCCAAACGGCTAAAATGCAACGAAGATTTTATTTACCACAAATAAATAATTTGCTGCTGTATGTATAATAATTTCAGTCATAAGGTTCTAGAATTCTAATTCAAATAAATTTTTGTTAACAATATAAATATGAAAAGTTTATTAAATGTCTGCAAACCAGGTTTAGCAGAACCAATTTGATTAAGACGAGCTTTATTCATCATAAACGTTCTGTATATATGATTTCCAATGAAAAAAGTGTTAAGTACCGCTGGGGTCCGTTGACCAGTTTTTCTTGATGTGGATAATAACGTTAAATTTATTTCAGGTTCAGCTCATTCGTGCACAAGGAAACAAAAGCAGAGTTTTTAGAAGAAAACTTGAAAAATCCCATAAAATACAAACTTGTGGAAAAAATAGATTACCCAAGATGGAAACTATTGGAAAGTATGGCAGGCAAACGAATTATTAAGACTCATCTCCCATTCAGTTTGCTGCCTCCCGATCTGCTGAAGACTGGATGCAAGGTAGGAGTTATTTTACAGTAGACAGGTGCAAAAAGATTGTAATGAAAACATCGTTTCACTGTTCGAAGTCTAATTTATTACTCCTTCACTGATTTCTGACATCTGCAACTGATTTATAACCAATTTAATACTATGTCGACTGGATTATTATCACTTCTTAATTCCGCGTTCGCTGTCTATTGCCAACTGCTTCCGCCAGCTGGCCGGGAATATAATGCTCCTATCGATGCATCTAGAAATGCTCTAGCGTTTTCCAGACAGAGTCGTGAACTTCAATGGAAGCAGGCTAGATGTCATATCGAACACTCGCAATTGCGTCGCTAGCGGTTCATACATAGCCGCGCAACTCTGGCTGCATAAGCGTCGACCCTGCGAAGCAACTCTTCGCCGCTCAAGGTCCCAGCTATACGGGGGCGTTACAATATTACTTATGGAAAATGTTATGTGAATAGAACGTGAAAAATAAGTGCAATCGCTGGAAAGAACCGGTTTGCTTTCAGTTTCTGTGACCATAACCCACGCCATACGACGTCGTTTTATTTTTGTTAGCAATAACCAAGACGGATTGGTCTAGCCATTTGGATACAGATGACGGAAAGCAAACTAGAGAAAATGGGTCTATCGAAAAACTCATTTCAGTGTGCGAGAAATAAGTGCGACACGCTAGGTTGTGCAACTTTTACATAGTACGAGAATGCTGGTAACATGTTGAGTACTTAGTTCTCCCCTGAGTGATGATGGGTCGCCTATGTGATCTTTTTTTGGCTTCTTAAAACAAAACACTTTTTTTTCCGAGATGCCGGGGAACTGCGGTTTCTTGTTGACCTACGGCAGCACAATCAGTGATTTTGATCCGTCTCATGAAAAGATATTCGGAACTTCAGGTATGGCAGCCGTGATAGATGCTAGGTGATCAGGTTACATGTTCCTTGACAGTCTAAGCATCAGATACACCAAGAAGAATCCAAATTTTGCCTCATCTTTTTATGACAAGTACAGGCATGTGTTCAAAGAAGATTTTACGTATTCTAGTCACCCAAAAATTATGTAATATAAAGTTCTCGCGATCGCAATCATTTATTCGTTTATGCCAAAGCAGACCAGCCCCGTGGTGCAATTTGTGTAACGTGATTTTAACGCAGCTAAATATTCTACACTACTGGTTGCTGGACTTTTAAACATATTCTCAGCTCACAGCTGCAGTATGAACCGCCAACTGAAGAGTCACTGCACTTCTCACGACCTACAGATAGGACAGATAAAAATATCATATCTCCCATGCATGTTTTCAAAATTATTGTCAGTTACACAATTATTCGGCAAATTACAACAGCATACAGGGTTTGTCCGGAAAGTAATAGGACTGAGTCGATTTAAAAAAACTTATTGAGCCAATCGTTACAATTCTTTAAAAACTTTCAAAATAGGCTCCTTCTGCGTCGATGCAGCGCTGCCAGCACGATTTCCAAGCATTGAAGGCGTCACGGAAGGCATTCTCCGGAATAGCCTTGAGAGCCGCGGTGCATGCTGCTTGGATCCCCTCTGTCGTCTCAAAATGCTTGCCTTTCATCGGCATTTTCAGGCGAGGAAACAAAAAAAAGTCCGGGGGGCCACATCTGGGCTGTAGGGAGGCTGCGGAAGCGTTGGGATGCCGGCCTTGGTCAGGTAGCTGTTCACAATAAAGGCGGTGTGAGCCGGGGCGTTGTCGTGGTGCAACTTCCTGTCGGCTGCGATGTCTTGTCGGACCCGACTGACCCTTCGTTTGAGTCTCCTGAGCACTTTCACGTAAAACTTGGCGTTGACCGTGTTGTCCAGGAGGAACAAATTCATGGTGGACGATGCCTTTGACGGACACGAGTCACGTTATCGGTGTTTGTCGAAGTCCTATTACTTTCCGGACAAACCCTGTATATTCTTACGAATACAAGATGTTAATGTATCTGAGTTCCACTCTCTTATCACGGAAGGCCCATGCACCACGATGTGTTTGTCACTAACAGGTTCAAAATTAATAGTTATAAACTCAATATAGGGACAGATTTTCGTCCATATGCAAGTCCAAAGTCCTCTTATTCCTTTACGCTGCTTCAATTTTCATAATAATCAAGTTTCAGCCATACAGTCTGAATCCAACTCACGGTATCCGCATCAAAAGTTATTGATGTGGTGTGGTGTCCCGATATGACTGGTAGTTACGATGTGCAAAATTTTCGTTCACTGAGAGACAATTTTGAAGAGCGCCGGATTCAAAAGAATGGTTTTATGCATTATCGAACAAATGTATTTTTGATAAATAAACGTAAGACTCCTCAAGTGAAGCCAAAGTATAGGTGAAGATACTTAAACATCAATTTCTTGTGCAACCTTGTGCACCCTTCACTAACCGTACTTCTCTGTCCTCAAGAGGCATCAACGGTCTGAAGTTGTTCACTATGATTTCTCCAGAAGGACCCTTCATACTCCTAAACGCGTCGAGCTGAGACTCAGAGACCTCTATCGGATCATCGAACACGATCCAAGTGGTACACTCGGAACAAGGAGGAGTGGTGAGAGATCCAGGATATGTATAGTAGCTACCGTGCAAAGGTATCAGATTGGATATGTCCACGTTCCTTTCTAATTTCGCTTCTGCGCCTTTGGCCTCGCATTTTTCCATAACCTCAACGAGTTTGGCTATCTCTGGATGTCCTTTGGATCCAAGCTTCAAGAAAACTCCCAGTACACACAGGCCGTCGTTATTTATTATGCCTTTTTGTGTTGAACAGTACCGGTTGTTTACGTGTACGAAGTGTATTTCTCCATCGTACTTTTTTCCGTCTATGGCGTGCTCTGAACCTTTCGTCTTGTTGTCGCCCCAATGGCCATGGAACTGGAGCAATGTATATTGATCTGTCAATGGTCCACCTAGTGAAAAGTATGATCGTATGTATAAATATGACAATGTTTCAGGGTAAAGATTTTAGGTTATTTCACAATAAAACCTAATATCAGCAAATATGGACAGCGATATAATGTGCCCGCTAAAGAATGTCGAAGCAACTAGAGAATAATAGATATTTTTTTTATTTTGGTGTCTTGATAAATCACATGCAGTGCTTTGCTGTGAAGTATTTCCATTTATTTTTTTAACTTAGCATGATGAAACTGCGAAACTTCAGCGTAAAAGTAACAGCTTAAGATTTTTGTTTCATGTGACTTTTGATTTACCTTATGGTACTTTATGACCCTAGACCTAGAATATAAATCTGCTGTACTTTTACCCATCCTACAAACTCCGACTCTCGATTTTTAACCCAAACAAAAACTATTCCGAAAATGGTCAAGAATCTATGCGTTTTTTGGCCTTTGCTCCTAGCTCCACCTCCACTGGACCAATTTTCGGAATTTAATAATAATAATAATAATGGTCGTCTTTATTTATCCATAATTACATTGTAGTATAGCCAAATGTCAGACTTACAAGGCGAAGTTTAGCATGCTGCTACTCTTACACTTAACCATATAGTCTCTAGCAGATGTTCAAAAGAATACACTATCCACAAACAGATTTGGTTCATTACATCGAAAGTAAAATTTAAAAAAGAGAAATAGGCATACTTTCCAAACCCAAATGCACCAAAAAATTATCAATCTGAATTAAAGATGGAATAAAAAAGAAATGAATGATTACGTAAATTATATGTTTGGAGGGTTGCGTAATAATGTTTTAACTTTTTGTCGAAAGACAGGTAATGAAACTTCTTTATATACTTTAGGAAGGTCATTATAAATAATAGCAACATTGTAAGAAAAACTGCGTTTAAAAAGTGTAGACTTATGCAGGGGTATTCTAATATTATTTTCTCTGAGAGTTCTACAGTGAAAATCATTATTAAATGATTTTTTTTCCTTCAAGTAATAAGGTTTAGACGTGAGCAGCAATTTGTGAACAAAAACTGAATAGTGATACTTGACCATGTCATTAATTTTTAACCAGTTTAGAACGGGATATTTCGCTGATACTATACATGATCAAATTTACGTAAGCCAAAAATGAATCGTATACAATTGTTTTGAATAACTTGAATAACGTTTTTAGTGAAATTGTCTAAACAAGTATAGTATAAGATATTACAATAATTTAGTATAGATATGACCAATGCGTCACGTAGTTTTTTACGCAACTTAAAGTTTAGTAAATACCTGTTTGCTATAAGAGTGCGCAGCCGTAGGTAGGTTTTCTGAGATAGACTTTTAACATGTTCAATAAACCTTAATTTTGTATTAAAAACAACACCAAGAATTTTTGCAGAATCAGAAAATTGCATGATTTGGTCATTTATCTGAATGTTCAAGAGCTGTATGTTTTTCTTTGTGCGCAAAATAATAACATTTTAGATTTTTGTGGATTAATAAGTAGATTGTGATCTAAAGAGTATTTAATTAATTTATTAACATCGTTTTGGAAAATTTGAGTAGTATTATTGACATTATCTGGGTTAAAATAATGGAGCAATTGCGTATCGTCTGCAAATGACTGGATATGAGAATATCAATACTTTTGCTTAAGTCGAACGTATATATGAGATATGCCTGAGGGAATTATTGTCACTTGAGACGTTTCTTGATTGAGAAAAACACACTGAGTTATTTGATGAAGGTAACTGTCGAAAAATGAAAGACCTATGTAATTTAATTTAGCAAGTAATAATTTGTGATTGATGCTGTCAAAGGCTTTCGAATAGTCTATAGAGATTAAGGCTAGTGCCATTTTCTTATCTAAGGCACTTAAAATATTGTCTTGCAGATTAAGTAGGGCCGATGTTGTACTATATTTTTTTCTAAAACCGGATTGAGTGTCGGGAAGTATAAAGAATTTTTCTAGGTAAGCGGTCAATTGGAACTTTATAATTTTTTCTAAAATTTTGGATAAAATTGGTAATAAACTGATAGGTCTGAGATCATTATACTCAGTGGGTTTAATTTTTTTAGGAATTGGAATAATTAGAGCTTGTTTCCAT